TGTGAAAGACTTAATTTTAAGTATTAAAACCATGACAAGAAATGGTTTTCTTAAACTTTGTTATCTTTTTGTCTAGATCGAAGAATTAACAAGGAGTGGGTAAAGGGGTCACTAAAAAAAAAAAAAAAAAGGAAAAAGTATATATGTTTGTATAAATAATGGACTATTAAAACCATGACAAGAAAACTATAGAGACAGAAAGCAAGACAACTGGTGGAGTGGTGGCTAGGGGTTGAGAGTGGGTAAAGGGGTCACTATAAAAAGGCAGCAAGAAGAAATTTATGGCATGATGAAACTTTTCTGTATCACAACTGTGGTGGTGGGCAACTCTACGCATTATCAAAAGTCATAGAACTAAATACCACAAGAGTAAATTTTACTGTATATAATTTTTTTAAAGGGCAAGAAGCTTCCCCTATAAGAATCAACAAAAATGAGCAATGTTATCAGTCTTATGAAGACAAAATTTTTGCTCTCCTTAAATTTATTTTGTAGTATGCAAGCAGATAGTCATACAATATTACTAAAAATAAATAAGTCAAATCTCTAAAAACAGCTCAACCCTTCGCTTTTATTGGTTGAATAAGGAAAAATTAGAACTATACTTGAGGCTAAAATAGATTTAATACTTGCTTTATTTTATTATTACAGGCAAAGCCACTACAGCATCACAACAAAATTCAAAGTCTATCCAATTTTTCTAAAAAATAGAATATCATACTCATATGTTGGAGGAGGTGGGGAGTTCTTCTTGTCTACAATGAATACTTAAAATGGTCAATGAAGCAGAAAGCCAATATAGAAACACAAGAATGACAAAATTCCACCAAATCATGATATCATTTACTTTTTTTTTTATTTCAGCATATTATGGGGGTACAGATATCATTTACTTTTAAGAAGGTATCATGCACATTCCTTTGCTCCTTTATACCTTTAAATTCCCAGGTATTTTGGTTTTGGTGGGATATTGGTGGGTGGTTTGTTAATTAAGCAAAAAATAAGAGCTTAGTTCCTATTCCCCATTTTAATATTATGATATTCAAACATAAGAAAATCTACATATATCCAGAAACCAGATATTCTAAGCTGGTAATCTGCTGACAGACCTGTTTTCCAGCACTGTGATTTAATAAAAACTTTAATTTGATTGCTTTTAGGTCAAGCATATACTTTCCAGGTCTCCTGTTATTCATATAAGTTATCTGCCTGATCCTTGAAGTTATATGATTATGCTACCTCTGCCACTATCCATCATTGTATTTTCTCCTTTTACTGTAAGTCTCTACTAATACAATCTTTTTTGGATTTTGAGTCTCAATAATTTTGAAATTATTTCTATTTTTAGAACTTTAACTTAACACAGTCATGAATATTAACTTAACAATCACAAGGTCTGAGGTATAAAAGAAGGCTGAATATTGCTGTGTATCATATATTAATAGTTGCTTATAGCTACTAGATTACCATTGCTGTAATAATTTGAGAGAGAAAAGGGGTTAACAATATACATTAAGAATTTCAATTCATTAACAGCATGTTTGAAATGATCTGCAATGATGATGGGATAAATAATTTGTTAAGAATCTTCACAGGAATGTCTCAAGATTGGGGGACAAAAATCTCCAATGCAACAACCACAATTTTTTTTCTTTGTTTTTTTTTCTGTTTTTATTTTTCCTGTTAGAAAAAAAATAATGTTAAAATTAAAAATATATACAAAACTCCAAATTGTTCCTAAGTACACTTATAAAAACTAAATAGGAAATATTGAAATAAAAACTTCAGAATTAAATATCATTAAACACTTGAGAGTAATTGACAACTTTTCTCAAAGCTTTATGTGTGGACACTAAATCTGCTCTTATACATTGCACTGTAAAGTTTTCATTAACTCTTACTATACACATCACTCCAAAAGAATATCGAGGAAGAGAAAACATATCCCCTGGCAGTACTCACATTCCTGCTTAAAGGTAAAATATTCAGTAAGGTGTCTGCATTCATGGTTGCCTCTCAGAAGAAATAATGTGCTTGGGTATAGAATCTTCAGAACCCATAAATATAAGACACACTGCAAAAGAAAATGTTTCCAGTGAATTTATCTTGCATTTTTGTTTAACTAAGCTGCTTGATCTTTGCTCCTTTTCCTCTATTACCCTTACCATCTCTATTACTCTTTATTATCTCTTTGTCCCTTACTAAAATATAAGCTCAATGAAATAATAAAATTTGTCATCCTATTCACTTCTGATTCTCCATTCCTAGAAAAGTACCTAGTGAATAGAAAAGCAATAAATATTTGGGTTTTTTTTGGTTTTTAATTGAGACAGGGTCTTGCTCTATCACCCAGGCTGGAGTACAGTGGCATCATCATAGCTCACTGCAACCTCCAACTCCTGGGCTCAAGAGGACCTCCTGTCTCCACCTCCCTAGTAGCTGGAACTACAGGTGCACGCCACCACACCTGGCTAATTTTTTTATTTTTTGTAGAGACGGGGTCTCACTATTGTCCAGGCTGGTTTCGAACTCCTGGCCTCAAGCAATCCTACCACCTTGGCCTCCCAAAGTGCTAGGATTACAGACGTGAGCCACCACGCCCAGCCCAATACTTGTTTAATGAAGAAGTCAAATAATCTATTTAATTACTTTAGATTTATAAATTGTTTAATATAAAAACAATTAGCAGATTGGTCTTCTCAGGTTTATTAGTAAACAAAATAATGTCAAAAATGATAGCAGTTAACATTTAGTACTTACAATGTGTCAAGGACTATACAATTAATCCCCCTCATTAATTGTTGTTTATTCCTCAAACAACACTATGAAGTATGTAATATTATCTCTATTTTACAAATGAGGAAACTGAAGCAAAGAGCTTAAATAACTTGTCCAAAATTATAAAATTCATAAGTAATGGAGACAGGACTCTGATGCTCTGATCCTAAGCATTATGCCATGTTAACTAATGTTTGTTTTGTTGCTTACGAATGTTGCCTTACATAAGGTAGGTGCTTATTATCTGAACTAATACAAAGCATATGCAATTTTTAAAATAAAAAGAATATTAAAACAAACAACACAGCAGATGCTTTTCTCCAAATTTAACATAAGAAAGAGACTCACATTTTACTTATTTGTTTAAAAAAAGGATTATTTCGTATAGAAATAAACATGGTATATATAATAATATACAAAAAGAAAAAAACAAACTTTATTTTTAACAAAGTAAGGTATGTGGAAATGTGTAACTATTCACACCTTCATTTCATTCATAAGAAGTAATAAAACCAGAGTAATAAACTCAACCTGTTCTCATGATTTTGATTTTTTGTTATTTTCCTTTTATAACAATAAAATGTATTGAATGAGTCAGCTACAAAACAATCTTATCAAGGACATACACACCAACATGCTTAGTTACCAAATAAGCTTCCTTAAATTGTTTATTTTATTGCTTTTGTGAAATGCTTCCAAACTTTTTGCTAGGAAGGACAATTTTCTGATTTTCTTGAAGCCCTGAAATAATTCAGGGAAAGTTGAAGGGGCTGATAATGAAACTATGAATGCGGGAAAAAAAGAACTCAGAATAATAAAATTCCTAAGGGAAGCAGGATGGACAAGTCCAGAACTCCCTTCCACACTAGGAATCCTAGCACACTTCAGAAAGAAAGGTATACTGAAAATACTGGAGAAGGGGATATACACTATAGTAACCAGCATGGAAATTCACTAGGTAAGTCTTCAAGGAGAGGTAGTTTAAAGTACCACTGTCTGGCTGTGCTGCTTACTAATAATATGACCTTGGGCAAGTTACTTAAATACTCTAAGCAAGCCTCAGGTTTCTCATCTAAAAAATGGGTAAAATAACAGTACTTACCTCATAACATTGTTGTGAGGACTAATCAATATGTGTTAAGTGCTCAGAATATGCTTGGAATGTATTAAATGTGCAATATAGGTATCTATTAGTAGAGATTTGACTCAGCAATTCTAGCTCTAGGAATTTGCCCTACAGAAATAATCAGGCAAGTATGCAAAAGATATATGAATAACATGACTCACTGAAGAATCACTTGTAATGGTAAAAAACTGGGAACCCCTTAAGTGACTAACAACAAGGAATTGATTAATTATGGTTTGTTCATTTGATGGAAAATAATGTAGCTATTCAAAATGATGTTGTAAATTTATATTCACTGATTTGGAAAGACATTCACCACGTAGGGATGCACGAAAAAGCAGGTTACAGAATATTATAATATGGTCCCATTTTCATTTAAAAAAAGGAGATACATATGTTACAAAATGCAGATTGTTCTGTATTTACTATATTTTACTTACATAATTAAAAAAGAAAAAGGAGCAGAAAGAACAATCTACTGTTAAGTGATGATCAATAGGTCATTTTAATGTCTTTTAAGTTTTTTAAACAAATTAATACTATCAGAATACACAAAGATTCCATACGATATACACAGGCCTTAATAGCTACATAACAAGGGATAAAAGCATTAGGGCTCAAGCAATAAAAAAATCATAATATGCTTTATTTAATCAGAGAGAATTCAATTAATCTTTTTTCACGTGATTTAATGCCTTTAGGGGCAAGAGAAATAAACAGCACTAGGTTCTTAAGGCCACCAGATGACAGGACAATGAAGACCCCCTAGTCTGCTCATAATTTCCACTGGGAAAAATGGCAATTATAATTATATAAACAGAGCTACACAAAGAAAATTAATTGAATGATTGGAAAGATACAAGAAGAATGAATAGTAGCTTCTCCTAAAAACTTCAGAATATACAGAGGTATTAAAAAAACCCAACACAGGTACTTTTAGAAACTTATTTTACTAGGAATTAATGGAAATCATCTATGTTAACACTTAGCAGCATATCAAATGACAGTATATGATTATTACCTCTATACTAAAATAACCTCTGTCCACATAATCACCAAGAAAAAGGTATCGTGTATTAGCAGGTGATCCTCCTACTTCAAAAAGTTTCATCAGATCAAAAAATTGGCCATGGATGTCACCACACACTGAAACAAGAAGATTATTAGATAAGAAAAAAAACTCTGAAATAACAAATTTTAAATTATAATTTCTTTTACATAAGAGATAATATAAATGTTATCAAGAAATGTCTAAGAAGGAAGTGGTCTATGTAGAGTCATGATAGGGATGATGTGTAACCAAGTGTTCGTGTGCTCAAGATCTATAACAAGATGTAAGAGAAATAACGAAATTTGTGGTCCGTGACAAATTTTCATCTGTATTCATAAAGCCCCTTTTTAAGGAAGCCAAGGATGTGTTTAAGTCATAAGATGACAAAATTATAACGGTGGCAGTTAAAATCTCCATTTTAACTCAGTACTTTCTGTTGAACTCTAAATAATCACCTTTATATCTGAAATGATATCAAGGTATCTGACCGTAAAGACTGAAAGCAAAGTAAGTGCTGAATCAAACTATAGTATGGTCAACACAACTGATGAAACTTTCACAAAAATATATTAGACTAATTTCTATACTCAGATTATTTAGGATCATGTTTATTCACTGAAAACAGGCAAAAACTTTTTTTAAGTATGGAACATAATTTGGAAATTCAAGATAATGTTCATGTAATATTAATTTAGTATATGGTATGACTGAAGAGGAAACAGCTTTAAATCCAAGCAATTAAAGTGTAATAAAAATAATACCCAAAACATAAATAAGTGTACCTGTAATTGGAGCTTCTACTTCTATCATTGTTTTCTCTCTCCGAAGGATGGCAGCACCCTCATTGATAATTCTAAGTGCAATTTCTTCATCTACCCGACCTTCTTTTACTAAGTGGTTCTTCAGAACATCAACCCTGGGTATCCCATCCATATCAAATACTTCTTCAGACGTCAAGCGATGTGTTGGAGGAAAAGGAACAGCTGCAATATTTTTAATTAATAAAAAATAAGTCACTAATACCATATTAACATAAAAACTAATCATTGGATCTAGATAAACAGGAGTAAAAACTGAAAAGCAGGCCGGGCGTGGTGGCTCACGCCTGTAGCTCACGCCT